ATACTAAGTTTTTGTTAACGTTCGGTATTTTTGTGTGCAATGCATTTCAGGGTTTTGTTATAGTGCAATTAAAACGGTCACACGGCACTGTAACACAAACGCAATTTGTTGTTTTATATTGCTTGAAACTGAGATTCACCAATTGGGCATGTCCTGCGAGACGAACACAAACTTTCAGCAAGAGTTGTCATATCAATTGAACCTGGACTAGTAACGGCGCTTGTGTCAGCTTGTGTTTACCATGAGGTAAACAGAAGCGAGTGCAAAGATTTTTATGAACGCAAATAGTAACGGTGTGGCCGCCTCTGGTGGAGCTGCTGCCTGTGGTGGCGGTGGTGGTGGAGTTGCAGCAGCAGCAGCAGCCGCTGGTGTTGCTGGCGCTGCTGCGGCAGCTGGTGGTGCCGCAGCCGCTGCGGCTGCTCCGGCTGTTGCAGCGGCTGCAGCTGGTGCGGGCGCTAGTCCGGCTGCTGCAGAGCCCAACAGTGGTACCAATGGATCCCCTGCAGCAGTGGCAGCAGCTGCAGCCACCAATGGCACAGAGGGCAGCACAGCCCTCAACGATGACCAGGATGCCAAGCGGCGCAAGTGCCTGGAAACAGACGAAGCTCAAGATGGAGCGAGCACCGTGAGTATGCAAATGGCAACTAGTCCCCGCCCCTAATCCTACAAACAAAATCTTCACAATCAATCTAAACTGATAATTTCGTATGCGTTTATGCGTATAGCAGATGATTGACCCGAACAGCGTGCTCAATAAGATCGCCCACATGTATGCGGAACAGCTGATGTCGGACATTGTTCTGCTGGTGGATGGCAAGGAGTATCCGGCGCACCGCGTCATACTCTGTGCGAGCAGCGATGTCTTTCAGGTGATGCTGATGAACCCACAGTGGAACGAGTGCAGTAAGCACGTGATTGAGCTGCACGAGGAAGCCTGCTGCTCGGCCGTGTTTCCACAGTTCATCAAGTATCTGTATGTGGGCCAGATCGAGGTGACACTGCAGACGGTGATGCCAATGCTGGCGTTGTCCGACAAGTACAATGTGCGGGATCTCATCGAGCTGTGCATCGGCTATATGACGAAGCATGTGGCCAAGGCGGCGACCAATGGCTTCCTGGTCTCCTGGCTGCAGTATACGCTCTCGTTTACGCCCACGCACAATGATCTCACCGAAACGCTGAAGCGTTTCCTCAAAAACAATTTGGAACTGGTGGCCGAGTCCAAGGACTTTGTGGAAATGGATCCGGCCATCCTGCAGTTACTGCTGCAGCAGAACGACATCGTTGTCACCAGTGAGTACAAACTGTTTAGCATCCTGCAGACGTGGCTGCTGCATCGCCGTAAGCTAATCGAAGCCCAACCGGGCCTCAGCGCCGAGAAGAAGGCCAGCAACTTCATGGAGCTAATCGAGCAGACTGTCATGCACATACGCTTCGCCATGATGACGCCCCGAGAACTTTCACTCGTCGTTCCGTTCATGGAATATCACAAGAAATTTCTGATCGATCGCATCGCCATCGGCCTGAGCTATCAGTCCGGGCAGGAAGATCGCGTGCGCGAGGTTCGCGCAACTGAAGGCGGCCAACTGCAATTCACTCCGCGTCTCTACTGGAACGACACGTGGAGCCTCGGCATCAAAGTGCACAACTTCGACAAGATCGAGGACTATAAAAACTATGTCACCTGCTTCTTTTCGCAACGACACATTGCGGAGACCAAGGACGGTGAGTGTTGTCGATCTATATATGCATATATGCAACTATTGAATGGAACGTAGAGTAGAGAAGGTAAAAGTAGAGTAGACTGTGGACCAGAACATAGAGTAGTGTGGAACCTAGAGGAGAATGGAGTAGAGTAGACAGGACAAGATTAAAGTAGAGCGTAAAGTAGAATAGAGTAGAGTAGGGTGGACCGTAAGGTAGGGTGGAGCATAGAGTAGATTGGAACCTAGAGGAGAATGTAGAGTAGACAGGACAAGAGTAGAGTAGAACGTAAAGTAGAGTAGTGTGGAGCATATAGTAGGGTGGAACGTAGAGTAGATTGGAACATAGAGTAGGACGGAGTAGAAATGGCAAGAGTAGAGCGAATCGTAGAGCGAGTGAAGAAGACTAGAGTAGAGTGAAGCGTAGAGTAGAGTGGAACGATGAGTAGAGTGGAACGCTGTGTAGAGTGAAACGTAGAGAAGAGTGAAACATAGAGTAGGGTGGCGTAGAAAAGACAAGAGTAGTGAGAAACTTAGAATAAAACAGAGTACAGAAGAATCGAATGGAAGTGTAGAGTAGAATGGAACAAAGATCTTTTCTACTAGTAGAATGATTCTACACTCTAGTCTAATGCAGCATGGATATTTCTTTAATAATTAAACTAGATAGGCTTACGAAACAGAGCCTTATTTATACAAGAGGCTATGTATGCACTATAAGCAGTGTATAAAAGCATTCTAATTTAAATGTTGATCGTTCCAACTGGTATCGTTGCCTTTATTAAAATTGAATTTGATTCTCCATTAAGACGGCTGCATGATCTGGGAAATCGAGTTCTTTCCGCGTGGCGTCAAGTACAACAAGGCCAAAATGGTCTGGGGCGAGGACGTGCCCGGCTATGCGATCAACACGGTGCGGCTGCGAGTCACGTGCCAGCTGAAAAATATTGGCGAGGAGCGCTTCAAGGTGCGTATATACCCCAAATGGCTGTCATACCAGAGATTCGTACTTTAATGCAAATATCGAATTCGCAGGTTGCCGTGCTGATTGTTGGCGTGCAGAACAAGATTGAGCACATACGCACCGTGGTGCATCGCACGGAATACTTTTCGGATAATGCGCGTGTCATCAATTTGGATAATCTGCTGCCCTTCGACGAACTGGAGCAGACCTCCCGCAACTTGAGTCCACACTTGACGGGCAGTCAGCGCAATACGCTCTCCCTGCACGTCGTCATAACGCCAATGGATGCGCACACCTGCCGTGATGCGCCTCCATTTCAATTTTGAGCCAATCAACCAATGAAAATAGACTTCGCGATGAACATCTACCAATTCCTTGGAATGAAATGCAGAAGATTGCAGACTGCGGACAGTGGCGCTTGGCCTTATGCACTAGCATAAAGCTGAGATCTCTCTCTCTCTCTCTCACTCGCTTCATTTCTATTTTGAGTTAATCAACACACACACGCACACATTTGCAAAATAGAGAAAGCATAATAGTAGCCGCCCAGCCCCTGGTTGATCCTAGTCGTTGGAAGCTTTTAGCTTCGATCTGCTCGAATTGTGTGCATACACCTAGCTCTATGTTTAACTGTACATATATATGTATATATATAGACAGTATATAT